TACTATAGTAAGATGATAGGGAACACATCAACTTTCTTTGCCGATATAGTCACTATCGAGGAAAGAGTCGAAGAAGGCTTGAAAAGAGGGAAGATAGGAAAAACCTCCAAAAACCAAAAGCTTAAGAAGTTTTTTGGAAAGAAAAAGGAGGGTGGAGTTAACACTGTACCTTCTCCACTACTCCTTAGACGGCCAAAGCAGTACCAAGGGAGGAGAGGAAATTTGACAAGATACCAACAAGCTATGCAAATCTAATTCCTCAATTGTTGAAGGCTTCGATGTTGGTGGGAATTCCACCGTAAAATAAGCTAAAGCCACCCTATCTACAATGGTATAGGCCCAACAAAACTTGCGATTATCTTTCAGGATCTATAAGACACTCTATTGAGAACTACAAAGCCCTGAAGATACAGATACAAGGGCTTATTAACGCTAAGTGGCTCAAGTTTGAGGCCAATGCACCAAACATTGATAAGTAGCCATTCCTCAAATATGATGAGTAGCAATTTTGGGATGGTCTGTTCAAAAGATGCCAGGGGGCTCTCTAAAAAATAAATAGATAAATTTTGCTTTCAACTCGTGACCTTCGCCCACGGTCACAAGTTCATACAAAAATAAGGGCTTGTAAAAATTTTACCTTCATCAATAAAATATGTCATTATCTCAACTTTCTATGTTTATTATCTTCTTCCTCCTCTCATGCATTAAATTCTAAAACTAATTACAGAACCTAAAGCAAACATGACTGAAGATAATGAAATTAATCAAACTTTGAACATCCATAATGCATTATCTAAGTCTAAGGAGGATGAGGAGGTCATTTCTCTAGATATATAGAGATTATTGAATAGAGAAGCTTAAATGATCTAGCATCATTAGGAGGAAGTTGAGAAAATAGATCTCGGATAGGGAGAGGATGGGAAGGAAATCAATATCAACATAATGATTAATGAGAACATCAGGCATCAGTTGATTGATCTACTAAGAGAGTATGTCGACATCTTCGCATGGCCATGATACGCCAGGATTGGACCTCAAGATTGTGGAACATAAACTACCCTTGAAAGAAGGGTTTTGCCTCGTGAAACAGAAATTAAGAAGGATTAAGCCCAAATGGTCCCTCAAAATAAAAGAGGAGGTTAAAAAAAATTGGATGTGGGGTTCCTAATTGTTTCACATTGTCGTGAATAGCTTGCAAACGTAGTTCCAGTATTGAAAAAGAATGGGAAAGTTTGAGTCTGTCTGGACTACCATGACTAGAACAAAGCTAGTCCCAAAAATGATTTCCCTTTACCACACATTGATGCGTTGGTAGACAATACTGCAATGAATACCATCTTTTCATTCATGGATGGATATTCAGGGTATAACCAAGTTAAGATGGCTGGTTAAGATCATGAGAAAACATCTTTTATCACACCCTAGGGCATATTTTGCTATAAGGTGATGCAATTTGGTTTAAAGAATGTAGGAGCTACCTACTAGAGAGCCATGGTAACTCTGTTCCATGATATGATCCATAAGGAGATCTAAGTCTATGTGGATGACATGATCACAAAATCAAAAGCCGAACATGATCACAAAATCAAAAGCCGAACATGATCATCTTATCCATTTGAGAAAATTGTTCAATCGTCTCCAGAAATACCAGCTAAAGCTGAACCCTGGCAAATGTACTTTCGGAGTTCGATCTGGAAAACTCCTTGGATTTATTGTCAATGAGAAAGGTTAAAGATAGATCCAGATAAAGTAAAGGCCATCACAGAAATGCCTCCTCCTAAAACAGAAAAAGAGGTCAAAGGTTTCCTCGGGAGAGTAAACTATGTTGTGAGATTCATCTCTCAATTGACAAATAATGTGCCTATCTTCAAACTGCTCCATAAAAATCAAACAACAGAATGGAATGAAGAATGCCAATAGGCTTTTGACAAGATTAAAGAATGCTTAACAAGTCCACTAGTGTTGGTGCCTCGTATTGAAGGCAAACCTCTGATTCTGTACCTCACGGTGCTAAAAAACTCTATGGGATGCGTATTAGGCTAGCAGGATGAGACTAAAAGTTGAGAAAGGGCTATATACTATTTGAGCAAAAAGTTTACCGGCTACAAAACACGGTATTTACCCCTCGAAAAAACTTGTTGTGCTCTGGTTTGGGCTGCTCAACGACTAAGATAGTACATGTTTAGGCATACCACTTGGTTGATGTCTAGAGTATACCCTATCAAATGACTGTTTGAGAAACCCATCCTTATAGGAAAGGTTGCCAAGTGGCAAGTACTACTATCCAAATATGACATATCATTTGGATTTAATGTGTTGAATTATATGAAATAAATCTTGAGTATTGGATAAATGTATAAATATAAATGTTAGTATGTTGCGTGTATATGCCTTATATATTGCACATAGGTGAGATATTTTCTTTCCTTTGTGTATGTTTTGTTGTTTCTTGTTTGTGTTGATCATCATGTTGTTGAGATTCATGGATGGTGAATCAAGTTCAAAGAGTTTTGATGATAACAAAGGACATAAGCTAACAAAGGACATGAAAAAAAGAGAAGACATGAATACCATGAATGAATACCAAATGTAATAGGAGCAGTTTATGTGTTCTTATGTGTTGAGCTGCTTTGTTGGTCAATTTTATTTTCTATGCATGTTTGTGCTTTGTGCATGAGTTAAATCTTAATTCTAATTATCTAAGAGTGAGTATGACGATGATTAAAAGTAACTTGGAAAGATTCTAAATATGTGAAATTGAATTTTGAAAACTAACTCAAAATAATCAATTATTACTAACTATAATCAATTATTTCAACTCTATTTTTCAAGAGGTTGAGAAACCTTGTTGTAATAACTAATTATCTGTGAAATAATCGATTATTCCAGAAAGTGCTCTCTAGAATAATCGATTATCCTGCAAAATAATCGATTATTATGTTCTTGAGTGATTTCCAGAATTCATGAAGAACAAAATAATCGATTATCCTTAAAAATAATCGATAATCTGAGCCTGAAAACTTTATTAAAATAGTTCTCACACTCAGAAACGGAGAGAGATGAAACCAAGTGATATTGTGAAATCTTTGTGATAAACTTTTGATCTTTGTGATCTTCTTGGAGAGTTTTCTTTATGAAACCAATAAGTAAAACACTTTTTTAAATGCTTTGATAAGAATCATCATCATCACTACATTCTTGGAAAGAGGAATTAAGATTGATCAAGAATTCACAGTATGATTTGTTCAATTTCCAAGTGAATTCGCTCCTTTAATCTTTTTGTGTATTGTGGTAAAAGTCTTGAGTAGGTTTCTAAAGTAGTAAGGAATTCTTGTAGTGGGTTTCTACAAGAAGTGCTTTCTTGGGTGCAAGAAAAGGGTCTATCATGTGTGTTGAAGTGTATGCATGTGTGGCATGCTTGTAAAACTCTTTCATTGAGATAGTGGAACAAATCTTGATTAGGTTTTGATTGAGGACTAGATGTAGGTCACATGTAGAGTGGCTGAACCAGGATAAAACACTTTGCACTTTTCTCTTATCATTATCTCTTACATTGAACAATCTTTAATTGAATGTTAAAATGGTTGGTCTTGATTAATATGCTTGTATGATTAAATGGTTTAAACCGGAACATAAGCACTGCATATAAATTGTTGTTTAAGCTGATTCAATAAAGATTAACCAAGAAATCATATAAGAGTCATTCACATATACTAAGAGGTTCAATATACTTCATTGGAAATTGGGTTTAGAAAAGTTTTAAAGAAATTAAGATCCTTAAACTCTGATAAATTTTTTAAGTGTCATTAAATCCAATTGACCCCCTCTTGATTTAAGCCATTCTTTTCTATCACATGCAAGAGTAGAATAGGTATGAGGCCGAGCATGTGATAGAGAGGAAGCTTAGTGGGCTTAAATATATTTTTAATATCTTAAATTTAAGGTAAATTTGTTTTTAATTTCTCAAATTTAAAATTTATTTTTTAGTCCATGTAATTTCAAAAAATCTTATTATTATAATCTTTATAATCAAATTTTGTTAGGAACTCTATCAAATACTATTGTATAAAATTTACCTACTAGTATCACTGTTAGTGAAAACATCACATTAAACCTAGATGATACTAGACAACTATGTCAATCTACCACTTTTAGATATGTTATTATTAACCTAAGGGACTAAAACAAAATTTTTAAAAATTTGAGAGACTAGAAACATATTTAAGTCAACTTAGTGCTTCAAATTGATGTTTTGGAGTTTTGTTATGATAGTTTTTTTTTTTGGTAAAGATAGGAAAAATTACCAAAAATGGTCACAATGAAGATTAAACCTAGATCTTCATGTTTCTAACTATCCCAAATCCCTCTCCACCTAACCACTAGGCTAACCCTAGTGGTTTTTTATGTTTACTTTATTGTGATGTTTTATAAAAGACCAATTTGTGTCTTGATTTATAAAATTATATTTTAATTATTTCTTTACGTTATAAAGTTTTTATTAAAGGCATGTGAAATTTTTACAATCCATATTAATGAAATTGTTTCATATTTTTTAATTAAATATATTTTATTAATGATCTTTTATAATATACACTTTTGTGTTACTAATTGTTGTGAAAGCTAATTAATTTACTATTTTTGTTACACAAAGTATCAAAATAACGAATTATGGCATTTGAAAGACTAATTTGATGTTTTATATTTATTTAATTTTCTATATTATATACTTTACGAGATCATGCATTAAAACTCTTACATACCTATACAACCAAATGGATTCATCTATATTTAATTTAATACATTTTCTCATATACATATATCTACACGGGAGCATATTCTCTTAAATAAATAAATACTGACCATTCACATGTGTGTGTAATAATGTTTGAGTTTAGGGTTTATATATTTATAGACATATTTTTTGGTATTTCTACATGTAATGTTTTATAATATATAAATAATGAATTTAAAGTTATATATATAAATTGTGTAAAATAAAAATTATATCATCGAATAAGGTCGTCATAAAGCATCAAATCAAATTCTTGTTATTATGTACAAAATTAAAACATAAAGGTAAATTAAGATGATAAAATTCTTACCGCTTGCACATAGTACCAAATAATACCGAATTCCTATATCACCAAAAAAAATGAGAGAAAATATCAATTTCAGAATCATAGTAATCTCAACATAGAGAAAAAGAATGTTATTTGCTTAATTACTTAAAGGTTATAGCCATCAACCAGTTTAAAAGCTTTTTTTATTTAACGCATGGATTCTTATAAATTCAGGTAAAATATAAGAGACAATACATTTTTTTCTTCTAAAAATTGATTGGATTAATAGAATGATGTATATTACCAATGAAAATTAATTAATAACTATATATAAATTTATATATAGAGATAAATTGATAGATATATTTTAAATTATGTTTTTAAAAATCTTAAAAATTCGTTTAGAAGAGGAAAGGTGATTTTACTAATGATTTGAAAATACCTAAATTTGCATAGTATTAGTTGGAATGAAAAAAAAAGTATCAACTAAGAAATTAAAAGAGATAAAAATAATTACTTTGATTAATTAATAAATTAACAATATTAATTTAATTTAACATGAAAACTCCACAAAATTAGAAAGACAGTTGTTCATGTAAAAGTATAAGAGCGTGAAAAAAGGTTATTGTTATGAAGTACGAGAGGATTAATTGGAATATAATATATAAATAAAATAAAACGTTGAAAGGAATAAATATTTTAAATTTTAACATTTATTTTTTTTCCTTTACCAAAATTCCCGAAGTATCCGCTATATGAAATCTCAAATCCATAGACCAGCGATCTCTGCAGCACAGGGTATGAAGATTTATTTGTGTCCAAACCCCACCAAGATGTGGGAGCAACCAACTTTACACGACAACCAACTTCAATGTCCTTTGCTTTTACGTCACCACCAATAGCGTATATATGATACCCTTTCGAGTGCCAGTTTAGGCAGCGAGGAGGAATTTTCACATACTTAAGATTCTCATTCACTGGATGGCTACAATTCAAGAACACTAACGATTTTATTCCATAGACATAGTATGGGTTCGTTCTGTTAGGACTGAAATTGGATCGAGAAAAGAAATAGCGAGGAAGGGAAGAGCAATTGTGTTGTTGAACTCCAGGATCAGCCACTCGGATTGTGGAATTGTTGTAGTTTATTGCCTGCACATGATATTTTCCAGAGAACAAATACAATACCGTCACATTATTTTCACAAGCAAGCTCATACCTTTTGACGCCGCAGCTTTTTGGGTCGTCTTTTAATCGAAATGGATTATGTATGTTCGTGATTGTGCCACATGAAGAAGGGTTGCAAGCATGCTTTTTAGTTTTGGTAGCACAAATATGCTGCACTAGGAACGTAAGGAGCACAACCACAACCAATAACGCTCTCTCTCTCCACATTACTCCCAAACTCTCTCTCATTGAACTCAACTTCAACTGCATACAAATCAAAGTACCTATTTAATAGACATAGACATAAACTAAGGGACCACATATTCAAAACGGAGACTTTGACTCAGAAATTAAACCGCGTTTTCCTCTCTTTCCTTCTGGTTTCCACAACTGATTCATTCTATGTAATATAATGATGGAGGACCATCCTTCGTACTTCACTTCATGTGAGACCCATCACATGGTTCATGGTTATGGCCAATTTGATTAGTATAGGATTATTTTATTTTCCAATTTTACCCTTGTATTTTGGGGTATTTTAGTCATAGGATTTATTTTCTTTGTATTTCTCATTTTACCCTTGTATTATGGGGTGCTTTAGATGATTAGGGTTTTAATTTTGGGCTAGGGTGTTTTAGTGAGGAGGTGACGCATTTTTGGTGAGTCTTGGACATATTTTTGGTGTTAGAAAGGCTTAGGCCCAAGTGGAGGGCAAAGGTTGCATGGACTTATCATGCACCTAGTTGTAGCCAATCTAACCCCTTAGATTCCATCCTTGGCCACCAAGTAGCATCTAGGGTTCATTTGGCATTGCATTTGGAGTGCATTTGCCTTGTGAATTTCGGCCATGCATTGCTCCAAATGCAACCCTAGATGCCTCCCCTCCTATAAATACCCAACACCCCACCACTTGTAAATACTTTGGATGTATATGAATTTGAGTGAGCATTCTTATGCCTCAAGTCCCTATCCTTAGTCCCTAGCTAAATTCGGCTAGCCTACCTTCATTCTCCACCCTTGGAGAGTGAGACCTAGAGTGGCCTCCACCTACCTTGGAGTGAGCCAACCTAAATCACCAAACACCATCACCTAAATAGCTTCCGCCAAACACCATCATTTTCACGCCAACTTCCTTTTCTTCACCATACACCTTCCTTTTGTCTACCTTGTTGAACCTAGATCAAGGGCCAAGGCTTCCTCTCCTTCATCTCTACGTCATTTCATGGAGAAGGAACCCATCATATAAGGTGTTTTATTTTGATACGGTTCTTTTTGTCATTAAATTATATATATGTTTTACATTGACTTTTCTTTCATATATCAATCACTATTTTTGTATCTTCAATAGAAGTGTGGAGATACAATTTTGAAACTATGATGGTAGAGTCCACTGTGCTGTCCCTGCAATGTGATTCCATATTGATCAAACTGTTGCTAATTCTCCTTCTTCTCGGTGGTGGCAGTGGTCACAACGAGTGCGAGGGAACGTCTTGTGGGCCTCAAGAACCTCTTATTAGGTTTCCTTTCCAACTCGTGAAGGGAATCGAAGATGGATGTGGTTATCCCCGCATTTGTCTACATTGTACGGGAAAAAATGAGACAATGCTTGTTCACGCTACAATCAAACTCCAAGTCAGTAGCATAGACTACGAAAATCACGAAATTGAGTTCACTGACCCTGAAAAGTGCCTTCCGAAGAAGTTTCAACAAATCAACAATTTTATCAATCGTTACAAATTTAAATCACCGTATTTGGAAGGAACAAACCACGACTTGAGCTTCTTCAACTGTTCTTCACAAGATATGATCTCGTGTCCGATTTATGTTTCTTCTTCAGACTATAGTGTCTTCCAAATATTTGACAACATGGACCCATCTTGTACCAAGATGTTCGACGTTATCACGCCAATGAGTGCAGATATGATGCTATCGAATTCGGTTAATTTGAGATGGTCCAATCCAGGTTGTGCTAAGTGTGAAGCGCAAGGCAAGACATGTAAATGGAAGAGCAACAGCACAGAAGGAGACATGGAATGTTTTGACTGCAAGGGCAAAAAAGGAAACCATATGCTTCGATCGTTTCTTTTCACCACATGTGAGAATAGACTCTTTCACACTACTTATCTCAAGTGAAGTGTCAATCTCTTTATTAATTAGTTAACTCTCCTGTATGTTACTCTTATTGTAGGTTCGATTCTTTTGGGGCTGGTGGTCGTTGCCCTCATTAAGATCGCCCTCTATTTTAGAAGAAAAGAAGAAGACCAAGCACGAGTGGAGAAGTTCTTAGAGGATTATAGGGCAGAAAATCCTGCAAGGTTTACCTACGCTGATGTGAAAAGAATCACCGGTGGTTTTAAAGAAAAGCTAGGTGAAGGGGCTCACGGGGCTGTGTTCAGAGGAAAACTTTCAAATGAGATTCTGGTGGCCGTGAAGATCCTTAATAACTCAGAAGGAGAAGGGACCGAGTTCATCAATGAAGTGAGAATTATGGGAAAAATGCACCACATCAACGTGGTTCGTTTGCTTGGTTTCTGTGCCGATGGAATCCATCGTGCTCTTGTCTACAGTTTGTTCCCGAAAGGTTCGCTACAAAGTTTCATATTTCCACCGGATGACAAGGACCGTTTCCTTGGCTGGGAGAAGCTACAACAAATTGCTATTGGCATAGCTAAAGGAATTGAGTATCTTCATCGAGGTTGTAACCATCCCATTATTCATTTTGTCATTAATCCTCACAACGTGTTGCTCGATGAAAACTTCACTCCAAAAATTTCTGATTTTGGCTTAGCCAAATTGTGTTCCAAGAATCCTAGTTTGGTGTCCATGACAGCTGCTAGGGGAACCTTGGGATACATTGCACCTGAAGTTTTCTCCAGGAACTTTGGAAATGTGTCTTATAAGTCTGATATCTATAGTTATGGAATGTTGTTGTTAGAAATGGTTGGAGGAAGCAAGAATTTGGACATGTCTTCTAAACAAGATTTCCATGTTCTGTACCCGGATTGGATCCATAATCTAGTTGATGGAGATGTACATATCCATGTTGAGGAAGAAGGTGATGTTAAAATTGCAAAGAAACTAGCTATTGTTGGACTTTGGTGCATTCAGTGGCGGCCAGTGAACCGTCCATCCATGAAATCTGTCATACAAATGCTAGAAACTGGAGAAGAACACGAGTTAACTGTGCCTCCTAATCCATTTAACTCAACAACTTCTACTTCTACCGGTGGACTCACTTCGTCAAAACAACCTTTGGAGTTGGAAGTCATTCAAGAATTAGAGAATGAATAGCTACTTTTACCCTCCCAACTTTTACAGTGGAAGAAAATGAATACTTTGTAGAAAAGTGTAGCATATATATTATATTATATATATATATATATATATATATATATATAAAGAAAAATATTCTCATTATTAATAGTATTATACTATTAACATAAATGATAGCACTTTTAATAATCATATATATATATATATATATTTATTTATTTTATGTGATATGACTAAATAAAAACCCTAGTGTTTAAATGTATTTTATTTTCTCTTCAAAAAGGAAAAAAAAAAGTTAGTTGTTGTTTTTGTGGATGAAAATAAAATAAAGGTCGAATTTTCTTTTCAACTTTATCAACTTTATCCTTGGTTCTTTATAGTTAAAAATATTTTATTTTGGTTCTTATACATATTATTTGTGTTCATTTGTATTATATGGACTAAAAAGTAGTTTATGGAATTATATTCTGGTCCTAATTTTTTTTCTTTCTCTAAATATTTTAATCCTTATAAAATTTGTATACATTATTTTTATACTTATAAAGTGAGTAAATTTTATTTTAGTTCTATAGAATATTTGATTTTTAATTTTTATCTCTAAACTTTAAAATCAGTACTATTCTTTTATCCTTAATGATGCTTTTATGATAAATAAATAATATTTATTTTAATAACTTATAAAATAATTAAGATTTCATACACTAATATGATATCATTAACAATTGTGGATAACACATGAAATTATCATTTAATTTTTTAATAAATAAATAAGTAGTTAAAATAATTATATAATACTATGGACTAAAAACAATAAGACTAAATTTTAAAGGATGAAAAAAAATATTTTATATGAACCAAAATAAAAACTAATTCATTTTTAGGGAAAAAAACATATTTAAAGTCTTAAAAGAAATAAAATTAGAAAAAAAGAACATAATATCTATAGTGACAAGAGTGAATTATTTTTAATTATAAAGACTAAAATGTAAAATTGATAAAATTATAAGAATAAAAAGATAGTCAAACTTGTATTAAATTATTAATGAATTAATATTGCTCTTACTTCAAATTTGGTGGCACTGTTAAGGTCTAAAGTCTACTTGCCAGGAAGTACAGGGGATTGGTTCAAGAAAAAGAGAAAGTTTCCTTGTTTAATTTACAGTGAAAGAGGGGAATAATATAAATGAGAAAGGAAAAAGGAGAACTCCCTCGAGTCTTGAATATGAACACAAGAAAATCACATGATGTTTTATTTCTAAAGAATCCTTTTATTTATATGAAATTTCGATGAAGAATAATTCAAGAAAAGAACAACTTTTTAAATTAAATTGGTGAAATTAAATGTTATTTCCTCTGGACCAATATATAAGTAAAAATGAGTTATTTCACACATTAAAAAATTATTAAATACGTTTAATTTTTTTACAATTTTTAAATAAAATATACATTATATTAACTAAAATATCATTAACCACATTTATAATAAATAATATTCTCATTTATTATCATAAGAATATTTTTGGATTAAAAATATTAAATATAATTGATTTTGATTTTTTTTTTAATTTTTATCTTTCATTCCAATACTTATATATAGATACAGTACTAACTAATTTTCTTGATTAGCATATATCATTTTTTTTCTTTATGTATGAGATCCACCGGGGGAAAGACCAAGACAAAAACTAATTATCATAATCACTTTCGAGTATCAATTAAAAATTATTAATTTGAAAGATATATTTCACTGCAAGTCAAAGTCCACGCATAACATTCGGCCCACGGATAAAAATCGTGCAAAAACAAAAGTATTGAGCCAGCATAAAACTTATCAACAAGGACCACAAGCACAAGGATATTAATTAATCAAAGTCTTCTTGCCATAAGTCTATGATGTGGTCGTCTTTTGGGTTCATTGATTATGTATGTACTGTGTTGTATGGAACTTACACTTGCGTTTGCCAAAGACTAATAAAGGTAAAGACTATCGTTATAGCCAATGACTAAATTTCTGTCTAAGACTCGCATCATATTGTAATTAAAATACTTACAGAAAATTATAATAAGCAATATTAATAACTAAACAAAAATTCGAAAATACATATACACAAAAATGTTATACAGCAACTTAAGAAAAGATTTAAAGGTGTGTTTCGTAAGAAGAATTTTTTTTAACAAATAAGATGGATAAAAATAAGGAAAAGGTAAAAGAAAATATATGTATGAGTGAAAAATAAAATGATTTAAAAAGTGTTTGTTTTAAGAAAAACATAAAACTATAACAAACAAAGAAATAAGAATAAGAATATATTCAATTTATTTAAATAATATAATTGGTTTTCATCATGTGTAAATCAATTTTAAAAAAAGTGATAATACATTTTTCTTGATTATTATAAAAAATTTTACTAACATAAAGAATAATTGTTAATATATATTTTACCGATTACCGATAAAAAAATTTATAGTTATTTTTATTATCACTAAAAATAATATTAAATGCTACTAAAATTTTATATTTTATGGCCGTGGATTGACCTATTCGCTTTCTCACCCCATTCTTAATGATAACATAATGAATTACCTCATACTTAAATTGAGGTTAAAAATGTTTTATTTTTATAAATAATTCATCATCAGTCCTCAAGAATATTGAGTGGTATCATAACTAATTTATAATTTTATTTATGAATGTATCTTAGTATTGTTGTAATATTTTTCTGTGTAATTAATTAAATCAATTTTCGTTTGTTGGGTTAGAAATTAGAAACTTGGGGCTATAATTTAGACTTTAGAATCATATAAAAATGTTAAGATTTGATTGAGTTATGCAAGTTATAAGTTCAACCTCCATTCTAATGAGCGAAATATTAATTTTTATGTTGTTAGTCATGTGAGGTAACCTTAACGACATTTTTAGGCTTCATGTTCTTCACAAAGGTTGTAGATTTGAGTGTTAGATTTCTAATGGATTTAGAATCACACAAAAAGGATGTGTATAACTCAAGTTATGGTCAAAATAGTGAGTAGAGGTCAAACTGTCAATATTTACAGTGCCCGAAGCGGGTATTCTATTTTAGTTTGTGTTTTTGACGTTTTGGGACTCCCTTTTTTGGCATGTTTATGATATTTTATGATTTCTTAGTGATGATTTATAATACTTATGATATGATTGAATGAGTTTGATGTAGGATTGTGAAATATGGTATTATATTGATAGATTTTGATGATGGATGTGAATCGTATGATGTCCAGTAATGGCTATTGTATGAAGAGGTATAAATGGTTTGTGTTGGGATGAATGTAAATTAATTGTGAATTAAAGATTGATGTGTATGAGGAGGTTTTGGAAGATATGTGTATGACTTATTGTGGAAATGTTAGTTGTGCATGTGATGTGGAATTGAATTGTGAACTATGATGTGATGATTGGGCATAGTCGTATGTGTGACACCGGGCTGTAAGGGCATGCATGTGATATAATGCTATTTATGTGCTATTGTGGGAATGGTCGTATGCGTGATACGGTACTAGATGCGTGATGTGTTGGTATAGTCATATGCGTGATATCGGTATCGATCGATAGTGGAATGCATTGGCATAGTCAAGAGTGTACATGATTCTAGGTGTGTGATGTGATAGTAGGGGCGTGTACGTGATACGGTACTAGATGTGTGACACAGTGTATATGTGCAATTTGTTTATAAGCACATATGTGGATTTTACATATCTTTGAAACTATTTACGAACTTATTTACTTTCTAAATTTTATTTTAAATTGATTGGATATTAGAAATGTATTTTCTTTTGGATATATGAACCATTTTACCTATGTTAAATTGATATTTCTTTAATTTACTTTATTATGTATATTGAGGTAGAATGAGTGTCAAATAATTCATTATGTTATCATTAAGAATGGAGCGAAAAAGCAAAGTGGTGAATTGAATAACAAGTAAAAACAAATTATGTAACAACATGAAACAAAACCAAAACTTTCTTTACCATGAATGGTATCATTATCAAAAATTAGGCTTCTAAGTTCCATAAACTATAATTTCACCATCAAATTTTACAATATTATGTGTGTTGACTCAACCATAAGACCTTATTCTATGCTTGTTGCTATGAAAATTAAAGGGTGAAAGTGAAGAAATTAATATAGAAGAGATGATAATCATTTCTTATTTTGTAATGAAGAGAAACTGAAAAGGAGAAAAATAAAAATGCAAGTCTTGCAATTTTTTTCTCTCAACAAAACTATGTTTAAATGAATAGTAGAACACATTTTTCGACAAAAATAATTGATTATTTATTTTGATATATGTCGCAACCCGAAAATTTCCGATCTCGCGACGTATGGTTTAGACATCCTTTTAAAAGTCTCATTAATTAAGGAATGCCCGGACACCAGACTAATCCTTAATTAATGGTTTTTGAAAATAGGTTCATGGAGTCGCCACCAATATTTTACTCAAAACATTGGAAAAAGAAAAGGTTTTTTAAAGATCCAACTATGGCCTTGATAACCAGAATTGGGTTCGGGGGTCGATTACGTGTAGGGAAGGTATTAAGCACCCCTACAACGCCCTCAATTGGTACCCTATGATGAAGTTAACATTATAAAAATTAATAAATTAAATATTGAATCCCCTTTATTAATATTTATTTACATGCTTAAAATATAAATCATGCTTAAAATATAAATTAAGCGATTAACCCTAAAATATCTACATTATGATGTTTATTATAACAAAAAAAAAAAGATAAATATAAGAAATAAAAGGAAGAGAAGAAGATTAGCTGAAATACCTCTTGAACAAGCTTTATTGAATCTTCAAATATG